GAGAACGTTAAAGCTAAGAAGCATTAGCCACTTCATCATAACGGACCATATATTTATATTAATTATTTTCGATTATACATATAACAGCTTGCCGAGCACCTGTCTCCTCCTGCGATGATGTAGGAATAGACCGAACTCTGGTTCAGCCTCTTAAGCTCTCTGTTGAAGCCTGACTAACAACACACACAATATACACACAAAACATAGAACACAGCAACAAGTCATTTGTTATTTTCCTGTTATTCCTGAAACAAACAAGACAAATGTGAATTTATGTCTTTTTAATATAATCTCATAAGTCAGAAGCCGAATTGTAGTGAAGCTGTCCATGAGGAGCATGTCAGGATCTTTACCGCCATGAGAAAAGCCAGTCGACCAGAAGTCCCACATCCACTCAGCACAACGAGGCTGCCCCGAGGATCCTGTTATAGAAACAAGAGGACACACTTTGACCTCACGCCTGAGCGACCAGCAGACACAGACACACACAGGGAGGCAGAGATGTAGTACCTGGAGGAGGAGCTCCGCCCTCTGTGCCACCTCCATCACCGTTTTCACCACTTGGTCACTGAAAAGCCTCTAAAAATGAAATTCAAATGAGGGCAAAATGTTTGGAATACACCTTTTTTACAATTTAATGTCCACGCATGGTTTATAGAAGATCAGAGACTGCTGATAAATGCTGACGACAGTTGAGAAACACCCATCTTTATACAGTCTATGTTGAAAACCTGCACCTGGTAGGTTTCCTCTGTCTCTTCTTGGAACATTTGGGCGTCACAGGCCTGTAACATCCTCACAACACCGCTGGCTGAAGCTCGGTCAATGTCACGCGTCAGGGGATTGGATTTCTCTGAAACAGCAAGTGCTGGCTCGTAATCTGGAGACTGAGAAAAAAATATAAATAAAATAACTATTTACAAGTTATATCAACATACTGTATTGAATTACTTCTGCTATTCAATCTTAAATTCAATAATTTGAATATTTGAATCAGATATTTGTGATTTTTATAAAAACAGACATTTTTTAAAAGTTGCTGTTTTAAGGGGGTGTATGTGCCGGACGATATCTTGGTTGTGCACAGTGGCTCACGCAAACGAAACAAACCTTGACCTGTATTTTGGAATTTACCTCCCAGTCACGCACAGTAGAGAGACAACAAGTCGCGTCTGATCTCGCCATCGTGCATTAATCTGTCCTTTTCCAAAGAAAACAGTTTGTCCTTCTGTGCCGCTGCAGTCGTCCACGTGTGTTTTCGTCAGTTACACAGATTGGAAATGAAAAGCACAAAGTGTCGGCTTCTATCTGCGGTGACAAAGTTCACTTAAGGACCTTTGAGACGCAGGAGTGAAAGGAAGTGTGGATTTCTCTGTCACACACCAACACCGAGTGCCCGGAGAAGCTTTGGATTAACAGCAAAAATCCTTCTTGCAACTGTTTCATGTGGAATAAGAAACACACTTTTCACTTTTCACCCATATTTGCAAGTTACATGATCTACCAGCAGTCTGCAATTACACTATTCATAGACTTTTATTTTTAGACTCAATATCCTATATTTTTTATTATTATACTATTATATTATACATAGTTGAGACTGACATCTTGGAGGAAGCTTTCCGTATTTTACCTTAAAGATGAAAATGTTGTGCTCACAGTAAATTTGAAAAACAGCAGTGGAAATGTTCACTTGTTTCTCAGACATGTTTTTTAACCCTTTGGTGTCAAAAAGACCCGACTGCTTGTCATCCGTGTGAAAATATTTACAACCCAACAGATTGTGGCGTCTAATACATTCCGTCACTTGCAGTGACTGTTTGCTGCAGCGTGCCTCACTCCTCCGTACTCCCACCACAGTCTCTCATAACTGCCAGATAATTGCCATCACAGCGACGGGGACATTTTTCACATCATGTTCCATCAACGAAAGAAAAGACCAATATTATTTCTCCTCACACGTCGTAAACACCCGCTGGCAATTTATTTTCTTTTTTTCACACAGGTTGAATCTCTTGCACCTTGACTCTCTGTTACGTGACGCATTTGTTCTACGCATCGCTCACGCTGATTATTAATGATGTCAGACATGACTATGAGTCAATCTAACACCAGAGCTGATGCGTGGGGCCGTGTGATAAGTCAAAGACAGGATGTGGCACTCTCATGGTTTGATGGCTGCAGGAGCCCAGATGTCAAACAAACTGCCTTATGCTCAGAAATGTCAAAATACTATTATATATTACTTTTCAGCAGTATAAGCCGTCACTCTGATAGCAGCTATCCATGTGGAAGGTGGATGTTGTCTAGTCCCATCTGCTCGCTATACTATGACTTCACACATTTCTGCATTAATCAGGAGGTAACATATGGAGTGTTGAGATGACTCATCACTGTCAGTTTATATAGTGATGTAATTCGCCCTCACCACAACTGGTATTAACATTGACTTACACTGAGCTGCTAATGACTAAGCTAGTGTTGAAAGATCACATTTGACCTAAAACCACAGAAAGTTTTGACTAATCCCAATCAATAACATGGAGGAGGTGGGGTTCATGCTTCACTTTTGGGGAGCAGTCAGTGCCTCCATCCATGAGTCTGTGGTGGCAGAATTTAAGAAACGGGGGCCAAGCAGGTCATTTTTTCCCTGAGGCCCTATAAATGGTTGATGCAGCCATGGAGAAAGGACAAAATGAAACGTTGGGGACGTGTTATCTCAGGATTTTAAATCAGCTTTCACTCGAGGGAAGCCAGAGTTCACCAGTCAATCAGAGACGATGCTTCAATTAACCTGAGCAATATTCTTTTTTTCCCATCGCAGCAAGAAGCTAGTGACGAGTCTTCTTTTTACTGTTCAGCTTGAAATCAACTGAAGCTCTTTTTGTTGTTTTGAATTCAGCAGAAATCTAACGAGCTTTTTTAAAATATAAATGTCTGCTGTTAACAAGCCTCCTGCTCTGCTCTTGTGTCTGTAACGACTCGGAGCAGAGAAGCAGTCCGGCTGCATTTTTCACAAACTGAACTCGCTGTCCTCGCTGAATGATGCAGCATCAGACTCCTGCAGCAGCTCACGAGTTCTCTCTTTGAGCCTAAACTTACAGTTTTTACACCAAGTCTCCGTGACTCTGTTTAGCTGCATTTGAAATCAACATGCTTCCAACCAGCGCTCATAAAATCTCTTCATAAATAATAAATTGCACTCTACCTGAGTTGACCCTTGTGTCTCTGACGGTTACGCTCGCTCGCTGCAGCTCTACCTGTTGACCTTGGCACCAGACCCCCTGAAGAGCCTTCACTCTAGACAAAGAAGCGAGAAAGTCATTAACATTAGAGAGCTCCTTCTCATAATCACACCTGAGGTGCAGAAGGAACAACTGACTCACAGACAGTCAGTTCAAACCAGCTCTGAAGGTCGTCTGTTTTGTGTCGATTCCTCATCAGTGTGTTTGTGTGCCCCTCAAAACATGAACCCCCAACATCACAAAGACAAATAGGATTTTATACATATGATCACCTCCACCATTTTGGTTTCAAATTAAAAATGGTGTCACATCAATATCCCCAACTGCATGAATAAAAGGACTTATTGATATAATTACTTTTTAAAAAAGTAAAGTAAAAGTAAAGTGAAGAGCAAGACACTGAACTCTGGACCTCTTTGTGATTATGTGCAGAAATCATGGAAGGAGTCAGACATATACAGTAAATACCTTGACTGATGATACTTTAAGTACAATTTAAGTCTGTTGAGAAAGGCAGCACATAAAGGGGAGATGAATAAATAGAACGCTGGTAAAAAGACTTATTTTAATTTCATTTCCATCCAAAACTAATGAGAATGTAATGCTTCCTACTGTGCTCGCATGGTCGTCTACCGTGCAATCGCTATTTAGAGCAAATAAACTGTGTTTTTGTAACAATGGCTTCAGTGTTGTTGCTTCTGAAACTCGGCTCTTTACTCCGTGTGGCTGCTTCTTCAAATCAGCCAATTACCTTCAGCCCTATGTGGAGTTTCTCCTCTAAAGTCTTAGAGAAACTGAGGCAAAAATGTTGACACGTATAAGACGCCTTTGACTACTCAAGTGAACAGAGGAAAAAAAAACAAAACATTAATTACTGACTGACGCTCTGTCCTCGTTCTCAGCCTGAATACAACTCTATCACTGTATCTCTCTGATTCCCATCAGCTCAGAACAAGGTCATTGTTTTGATCTTTTGAGGTTTATTGCTGATCCAGGTGCCAAATCGTCAGCAAACAAGGAGCCGCTGGGGTTTTTTGCTAATTCATTGGGATGAATGTTGTATCGTAGAGTGTGGGACCGCAGCTGCAATGGTTTCTCTTCTAAATCTGGTGTCCAGGAGATGCCATCATGTTTAATCGAGAAGAAAAGTTCGAGTTTCTCTGGAGTCCAGATGTGGCAGATGTGACACAACGTCAAACCTCGACTTAATCTGAGGAATTGTTTTTTTAAATTCCTAAATTTCTTGAGAGATGTAGAGACGTGAGTCCAGTGTTGCTGTCACTCACACAAACAAACACATACACACACACACAGCGATACAACCATCGACTCCCTCTCCCTGTCCTTCAACCCCGCAGCCAAGGTTGTCATGACAACAGAGAGGCTAATCTCCAATGGACAGAGAGAGAGGGAGAGAGAGAAAGTGCTCATGAGAACGAGGAAGAGATGCAGTGCACGCATGCTTGCATATTTTTAAGTGTGTGTGTGTGCATGTGGGAACATGTGCATTTCATCTCAATTTAACGTAGCATTTTTATCAGGGGGGATTATTATTAAAGCAACATACAGGAAGCCAATTTAGATTTATATACATTTACATTTCACTCTCTCCATTCCTCTGCTCATCCATCCCTCCCTTCAAATCCCTCATTTTCCTGCTCTGACCTTCATCATCCTCAAAACAAATCCATATTTCATTGCCCCTCATGACTTCCTTCTCCGTAAAACCCCTAAACATTTTCCACATTTTTTTCTTTTCTTTCCCTTTCCATGCAGTAAATCACGTTTTCTCTTTTTCATGCTTCTGTAAGTCAAATCGTTCCTTCTCCATCCAACAATTCCCAAATCTTCGTCTCTTCCTTCCTCCTGACAATCTTTTCATCCTTTTGAACCGATTCAGCCTGAATCATCTTTTCTATCTTTGTCCCACACACACACACACACACACACACACACACACACACACACAAACAAAACACACACTCAAATCCAATTCCTAAATCCTTCCAAAATCCATCCCTCTTTCTCTCTCGGCCCCTCAGCTTTATATCTCCTTTGGTTCCTTCTCTCTCTCTCTCTCTCTCAAACACACACACACTGTCCATCAAAGTTCCTCACATTCCTAGATCCCTGTGTGTGTGATCCCTGGGTTGCCTGGTGGGGATCACACACACATACACATATGTTCCGGCTGATTAGTCTGGCAGAGCCACAGGGCAATCAGCCCACTGGAGGGGATGATGGAGGGATGGATGGAGAGGGTACAGAGGGATGGAGGGGGATAATGCATGAAAGGTGGAAATCTCATTTCTCCTCCCTCTTTCAGAGGAGAAAACAATCACTGTTTAGCTTTTACAGCAGCAGTGGGCGAGACCCCACAGCACGTGCACGAGCCAGCGTGCAGATGTGCATTTGTCGGTAGACGGTGGAGTGAGAGAGAGTGGGGAGGGGGAGAGAGAGAAGAAGGAGATTGGAGAGAGAGGAAAGAAAGGAGGAGAGCGAGCGAGAGAGAGGAGAGACAGGGGGGGAGGGAGAGAGAGAGAAAGAGAGGGGTGAGGGAGAGGGAAAGAGAGAGAGTGGAGGAGAGAAAGAGAGGTGGAGAAAGAGAGAGAGCGAGCTGCAGAGAGCAGGAGCTGCAGAAAGGAGGAGCGGGTGAGCGGCTGCAGGTGATGCCGGGAGCCTGCAAGCTGGGAGCGGGTGGACTGAGTGGTGGGAGTCGGGGGGTCTCCGGTTACGCACGAGTCGTGGTCTAGGGATAGTTGGTGTCCGGTGCGCGCACAAACACACACGCGCATCTTAAGAGCAGCGGGAGATGAATTACGTCATAGCCTCCCGTCGCCCTAGATGACCGCGCGCGCAGGACGGGACGATGCGGGGCTGCGGGAGTAGAACAGAAACCGATTCCGCTGCTGCTCACGAGCGCCCGGTGGCGGAGCCTCGACCGGACGCAGAAGAAGCGGAGCCGCCGTCGCGCGGCCGCCGGCTCTGATGGCTCCTCGCGCCCCGGGCGGGAAAGAGTCACAGCAGTCGCCGCGTCGCGTGAGCAGGGAGCGAGGCAGCGGGTTAGTGGGAAGTGACGTGGTGTCCGCGCCCCGCGAGAAAGCACCACGGTGCGGTTATCGTGCGTTTCGCAGGAGGGCAGGAGCGGGAAGGGGAACATGGCCGCGCAGTCGGACGGCGGCAAAGCCGGGGTCGGGTGCGGAGGCGGTTTCGCGCAGCTGTACGATGTTGACGGCGAGGAGCCGCTGGACTCCGCCGCGATCCACATCTGCCAGTGCTGCCGCTCCTCCGCCTGCTACTGGGGCTGCCGCTCCGCCTGCCTCGGCTCCCTGCTCGGTGGGGGCCAGCCCGCCGGAGGGATCGGCATCCGAGAGACTCACTGCCCGCCCCGGGAGCAGCTGTGGCTGGACTGCCTCTGGATCATCCTCGCCCTCCTCGTCTTCTTCTGGGACGTTGGCACGGACCTGTGCCTGGCGGTGGACTACTACCGCCGGCAGGACTTCCTCTGGTTCGGCCTCACTCTCTTCTTTGTGCTGGTGCCGTCGGTGCTGGTCCAGACTCTGAGCTTCCGCTGGTTCGTGCAGGACTACACCGGCGGGGGGCTCGGGGAGGTGGAGGGGTTGAGTAAGCGGGGCGCGGTGGCTCTGGGGTGCCTGTACCCCGGCAGGGACCGCCTGCAGCTGGCCACCATCTGGCTGTGGCAGGCCATCATACACATCCTCCAGCTGGGACAAGTATGGAGGTAGGGGCGCAACAACATCAACACACACCGGAACCTCACCTATCAACACTTTTAACACACACACACACTCATTTCCCCCTCACACACACTCTTCCTGCCGCTGGCGGGTGGAGTGTGTGTCTGCTCAATGTGAGCAGAGGAGGAGAAGGGCTGCTTCATCCTGACAGGCAGGAGAGGAGGAGAGAGGGATGACCTCCCCAGCACTTCACACACAGACTGGGGGAGACACACAGAGACACACACACACACTTCCAAGAGTTTCCTGACAGTTTCCAGGAAAAGTTGAAAAAGGTTGAAGTAGTGGTGGTTGTTTGAACTCTTCAGCTCCATGTGTTAATCAAAGAGAAAGTAAAATACATTTCAGCACCAAGGACAGTGTCAATGCTCTGGATGGTGGATGGAGAAAAGAGGAATCAGTGTGTGTGTGTGTGTGTGTGCATGTGTGTGCATGTGTGTGTGAGAGAGAGAGAGAGACCGGTGGGAAAAATGGTGCCACGGCTCTTCCCATGTCAGCGAGCATGGAGAGAGTACATGGAGGAAAAGCATCTGTGCTTCTGGCAACATATCTTGCTCTCTCTCTCTCTCTCTCTCTCTCTCTCTCTCTCTCTCTCTCTCTCTCTCTCTCTCACACACACACACACACACACACACACACACACACACACAGTTGGACAAGGGAGGGTGCTAATTGTAGTGCTAATAGCTCTGGCAGGAGAAAACAGAAACACACACAGTCTCACACACGCGCTTCATTCTACTGCAGCCGTAGATTCCTTGCCTCGCTCCTCGTGTGATATATTGCGTGTGTTTGCTTGTGCAGGTGTGTGTAGTAATACTACATCTCTAGTAGTAATGGCAGTAGTAGTGTGTATGCTTGCTTGTCTTCAGCCTCTATACAACGACATTGATTCTCCCTCCCCAGCACTCTCTCAGAGAAGACTCCTTAATGGTGTCCACTTGCCTCTGGGCAGGCAGCAGGGAGAGTACAGTGTGTGTGTGAGTGTGTGTGTGTGTGTGTGTGTGTGTGTGT